CCCACATTTTCCCATATCCTCTGGGGGATCGACGATCAATTGTGTCTGTGTTTTTGTTCCCTCCTGACTGCTTTCGTACCGTCTTGGCTGCGCTGCCACCCTCGCGCCGTCGGACGCTCGGGCCTGGTGGACACGCGGCCTCGCACCCCATCGCCACCCTCTCCCGCGGGCCGCCCCTACAGAAAGAAGAGAACACGGCAGAACCATAAACTGTTGGCGCTCCGCGCGGACTTCCTGGATCTGCGCTGGACCCCCGAGCGCGCCAGGGGCGGCGCCGGAGGCGCCGCCGGGCGCGTAAACGCCAGTTTATGTTTACGTTTTTTTTTCTTTTTCGACTCGCACCTCTCGCCACCCCTTGCCGCGGACCGTTTCTTCGTCCCAGGTCAACCCCAGGGCCCGAAAGCGCTCCCAGCAGGACAAAAGCGACGAAAGCATCCGCCGTAGTCTGTTCAAGACACCAGAGGTCTGAGTCCCCAGACACCCGACGTCACGATTTTTGCTGAGAAAGTGGATCTTGAAACGTCTCGATCCCTTCCAATGGCCTGGTTGTTCATCGCGAGTCGTCTATGCTTACGGCCCCAGGGCCCCGGAAAGGGCCCCCAGAGGCCAAAAACTGCCAAAACCTGCCCGTCGTGATTCTTGTCACGATGCCAGGGGGTCTGGGCCGACGTGCTTGCGGAGGAGGGGCCCAGAAGTGCTCCAACAAGGCTAAACGAAGGGGATAAGAATCCCTAATATAGAAACCACCTCGAGGGCTTGTTTCATGCACCCTTCGAGGGTTTTTGTTGTACCGTCGCTTTTTTCACTCTCGATCAAATCGGACCTCGATCGAACAAGGGCGCTCCTGGCCTCCGCCCCCCCGAGACTCGGCGGGGGAACGTTCGCGGGGGCCTCGACCTGGAACTGGCTGTGCCTCGTCGGCAGGCCGGCGACGGCGAGAAGCCGCACGCTCCTGGCCAGGGCGGGCCATCGGGCTCCATATCTGCGGTGAGTGGGCGGTCGGGGGTCGCCGCATCCCCCCCTGAGCGAACCCCCCTTCGTAGGAGGGCCAGTGGAGACGACGGCGACTCTCCCACCCCAATCTGCGGTAAGTGGGCGATTGGGGGTCACCGCGTTCACCCCTGAGACGAAGAAGGGCCAGTTGAGACAACGGCGGCTCTCCCACCCCGATCGGCGGTAAGTGGGCGATTGGGGGTCGATGCATTGCCCCCTGAGCCTGTCTCCCCCCTAACGTTGCCCCTGAGAGAGGCGGCCGAGCCCCCGACGTCCGTGTTGAAGAGAGGACCGGGTTGGCCGGCGCCTGGGTCGCCGCCAGCGCCCCCGGCGCCGGCGCCGGCGGAGGATCCGAGCGGGTCTGTGTCGCCGCCGCCGACGCGGTCGAGCGGGTCCTCCTCGCGGCCGTTCCTCCTCCAATTGCTCCTCCTGGTCTTCCTCCTGCTCCTCCTCCGCCTCCTGCTCCACCTCCGCCTCCTCCTCCTGCTCCTCCTGCTCCTCCTCCTCCTCCTCCTCCTCCACAACCTCCTCCTCAGCACCATCACCATCACCATCACCATCACCATCACCATCACCATCACCATCACCATCATCATCATCATCATCATCATCATCATCATCATCATCATCATCATCATCATCATCATCATCATCATCATCATCATCATCATCATCATCATCATAATCATCATCATCATCATCATCACCATCATCATTAGCAGCAGCAGCAGTAGCATCAGTAGCATAATCATCATCAGCAGCAGCAACATCAGCATCAGCATCATCATCATCATCATCACCATCAACAACAACAGCATCATCAGCATCATCATCAAACTGATTGTCATCACCATGATATTCATGAGCATCATCATCCTCATCATCATCCACATCAGCATCATTACCCTCATCACCATGCTTACAATCAAAATCCACATCTTGATAGTCGGCATCATGATCGTCATGATGATCATGATCATCATGATGATCATCATTATCATCATCATCATCATCATCATCATCATCATCATCATCATCAACATCATCATGATCATCATCAGAAGCACCACGATCACCATCATCACCGACACCGCCTCAAAATCCTCCTCCAAATGACCCTCTTCCTCCACCGGGAGCTCCTCTTCCTCCTCCTCCTCCTCCTGCTCTTCCTCCTCCCGGTCCTCCCCCTCCTCCTCCTCAGCAGCATTACCACCACCACCACCACCATCCTCGTGATCATCATCATCATCAGCAGCATCATCATCAGCATCATCAAAATTGCCGTCGTCATCATCAGCAGCATCATCATAATCAACATCATCATCACCTTTACCATCATCATGATCAACATCCAGGTCATCGTCATCACCATCACCAAAAACACCAACATCATCATCGTCACCACCACCATTAGCATCATCATAATCATCATCATCACCATCAGCGTACTCATCCTCATGTACATCCTCATTATCATCCTCCTCTGTATCATCGCTATCATCATCATGATCAGCATCATCATTATCCTCGACATCACCGTCCCAACCACCATCATCCCCCTTGATCGCCTCCTCCTCCTCCGCCTCCTCCTCCTCCTAATGTTCCTCCCTCCTCATCCTCGTCACCATAATCATCATCATCAGCATCATCATCATCATCATCATCATCATCAGCAGCAGCAGCATCGTCATTGTCATCGTCAGCATCATCAGAATCATCATAATCATCATCAGCATCATTCCGTTCCTCCTGTGCATCATGCTGATTATCATCATCATCATCATCCTCATCATCATTGTCGCCGTCAACATCCTGTCCCTTGTCACGTCATCCTTGCATGCGTCCTGTTTTTCTCGCTCGGCTTCCACCCTGCGCCTGTTTCTGCTCCCCCGCTCCTCCCATGATGCATACCATCATCCTCGCACATGCTGCTTTCCCATTCTCCTCCACCTCATCCTCTTTTGCCCGCATCCTCCTCTCAACCCAATGATCATTCTCCTCATCCTCCTCCCTCCCCTCCTCCTGATCCACCTCCTCCCCTGCTCCATCCTCCTCTCTTTTCTTATCCCTGCACTGAGGTATTCCTCTCGGGGCTGCTGGGCCTTGCTTCTTCACAGTAGAGTTCCTCGGGGTTCCCTGGTCATGTTTCTTCACAGTGGCGTTCCTCAAGGTTCTCTGGCCTTGCTTCTTTACAGTGGCGATCCTCGGGCACTTCTTCAAAGTGGCGTTCCTCGGGGTTCCCTGATCATGTTTCTTCAAAGTGGCGTTCCTCGGGGTTGCTTGGCACTGCTTATTTATAGTGGGGTGCCTTGGGGTTCCCTGGTTTTGTTTCTTCACAATGGCGTTCCTCCAGGTTCTCTGGCCGTTCTTCTTTACAGTGGCGTTCCTCGGGTTGCTTGGCCTTGCTTCTTTACAGTGGGGTTCCTCGGGAGTCCCTGGTCATGTTTCTTTACAGTGGCGTTCCTCTGGGTTCCCTGGTCTGGCTTCTTTACAGTGGCGTTCCTCGGGGTTGTCTGATCATAATTCTTCAAAGTGTCGTTCCTCGGGGTTGCTTGGTCTTGTTTCTTTGCAATGACATTCCTCGGCCAAGCAATGCCAAGCAAAGCAAAGCAGCGACAAACAATGCCAAGCAACGCCAAGCGATGTCAAGCAATTCCTATTAACGCCAGGCTAGACCAAGAAGCGCTAATCAACGCGCGAAGCAACGCACGAATCAACGCCATGCAAAGGCAAGCAATGCCAAGCAATGCAAAGCAATGCCGAGCAATGTCAAGCAATACAAGGAGAGGCCAAGCAATGCCAAGCAATGCCAAGCAATACTTAGGAATGCGAAGCAATGCCAGGCAATGCCAGGCAATGCCAAGCAATGCCCAGCAAGGCCAAGCAATGCTCAGGAACGCCCAGCAAGGCCAAGCCATGCTAAGCAATGCCATGGAATACCAAACCATGCCAGGCAATGCCAAGCAATGCCAGGCAACGCCGAGCAACGCAAAGCAACGCCCAGCAACGCCGAGAAACGCAAAGCAATGACAAGCAATGGGCAGCAATGCCCACCAATGCCGAGCAATACCAAGCAATACCAAGCAGCGCCGAGCAATACAGAGCAATGCAAACCACTGCGATGCCCAACAATGCAATGCAATGCCGAACAATTCCATCGAATGCCGCTCAAAAAGCGTCGCCCTCATTGGGGTCGCGCCGGGTTTATCACCATCGTAACCGCAACACATCATTTCATCATAGACATCAACAATACCCTTACCAAGGTCAGCGTCAAAATGCGCATTACCAACATAATTAGCCTCATTCCCGACTAGAATCGTTGTCATCATCGTTACTGCCATCATCACCATTGTCATCACCATCATCACCACCATCAGCATCATCACAATCACCACCGCCCCCTTTTTGCCCTTGTCCTCCACATCATCATATTTCCCCTTCCTGTCGCATTCCCACTATTCAGCCTCCTCCTCCTCTTTGAACTTATCTTCCTCCGCTTCCTGCTCCTCTTTCATCCCCTCCTCCTCCTCCTGCTGGCTTCCCTCCTCCTCCTACTGGCTTCATCCTCCTCTTGCAGCTCCCGCCCTCCTCTTCCTCCTCCTCCTCCTCTCCTCCTCTCCTCTCCACCTCCTCCTCCTCCTCCTCCTCTCTCTCCTCCTCCTCCTCCTCCTCCTCCTCTCCTCTTCATCATCATCATTCATCATCATCATCATCATATCATCATCATCATCATCATCCCTCTCCTCCTCCCCCTTCCCCCTCCTCCTCCTCCTCCCCCTCTCCTTTTTCCTCCTCCTCCTCCTCGCCTCCCCCTCCTCCCTCCTCCTCCCCTCCTCCTCCTCCTCCTCCTCCTCCTCCTCCTCCTCCTCCTCCTCCTCCTCGCGCTCCTCCAGGAACGCGTCCATCCGCAGCCCGTGGGCGGCGCGCGCGCGCAGGGGCGAGAGAAGGCGCCCCCCTCGGCGCGCGGCAGGGCCGCGGGCGGAGACGCCGGGCCTGGGCCTCCTGCGGGCGCGGCGGGCGCGCAGGGCCGGCCAGCGACGGACCGCGTGCGGGCCCCCGTCGGCGGCGAGCGCCCGGGGGTGAAGTGAGAAGGAGAAGGCCTTCTCAGAAGGCGGCGGGACTTCTCAGAGAAGGCCTTCTGCGCAGCTGTTTGCCTGCATTCGGGGAAGGCGCAGGAAAGCTTCTCAGCAGAAGGCCGGGGGACTTCCGAGACTTCTGAGAAGGCCCGCCCCTTCTCACTTCCCCCCTGGGCTCGCCGCCGATGTGTGGCTGCCAGGCATCGTTCCCACGATTGCTGCCCCCACGTCAGGCGTCCTCCTCCTCCTCCTCTTCCTCCTCCTCCTCCTCCGTCTTCTGAGAAGGCCTTCTCCTTCTCACTTCCCCCCCTCGCTTGTCGCCGACCCTGGGAAGCCTTCGTCGGCACGCTGGCGGCCTTCAGCGGCTCTCGTCGGCCGAAGTCTGCGGCCGCACGCACGTCATCTGCTGCATCCTCGGGGGACGTTATGCCCCGTCGCGCCGCTGTCCGCGTCGAATCCGCGTCGATTCCTCGTCGAACCCACAGGCAGGGCCCCCCGAAGATGCAATGTGAAGTGTCGAGGCCGTACGCCCATCGGCACTCACCGATTCGAGATCTGCGTTTTCGCTTCTTCTTGGGGGGGGGGTCCCGGGGAAGACGCGGCCTCACCGTGAGGGTGGCGTCGGCAGGAGGCAGCACCAGGGCCAGGGGGGCAGTCGACGGCAGCCCGAGCCGAGGAAAAATTGGCAGCGGCAGAGGGCCGTACCAAAGGCCAGGCCGACCGAGGGAGATCGGCGGCAGCGAGTGGTGGGGGGCCAGGGCCAGGGACCGTGGAGAACGCTTGGGCACAAGGCTGTAAAGAATAACCTGGAGGCCTCGCACGGCCGCTTGAGACCCAAAAACGTCAGATCCACGTCGGACTCACGTCTGATCTACATCGGTTTCACGTCGGGTTCACGCCTGATTCACGTCAGATTCACGTCGGATTTACGTCGGAACATCGCGCAAACGTCCGCCAACATCGTATGGAGCGGACGTGCGGACTGGATAATTGAACTATTGCGCGCCGCGCGAGGTCTCCTGGATTTTCCTCATAGACAAAGCCGAGCAAGATAAACAAGCGCAATTTGAGGCACCAAAACACAATAGCGAGGGGCAGTCGGGAAGAGCCGGGCAGAAGGCCGGGCCACAAAAATCCAAGGATCAGATACACACGGGACAAGCAGAACCGATTCGAAGAGGCTGGCAGCAGCGGAAAGCAACGCAAAGACCAAAACAATCAGAGGCAGCCCAGAACAAGGCCGAACTCATACAAAATTGGCGGCAGCGGAGGATGGCACCAGGGCAAAGGACAGCTGGGGCCAAGAGAAACCAGCGCAACGGAGGCAACAGCAGGGCCAGGGACGGACGGAAACGGTCGGGGCCACAGCCAAAGGAAAAAAATGCTGGCAACGCGAGGCGGAGACAGGACCATGGACAGTCGGGGACAACCTGACTCGAAGATATGTGCAGTAAAGGAGGGCGCTGACAGAACAGAAGTGGTAAAAGGTCGAAACATCTGCAGTGATGACACTGGGTACTGAAATGATTTCGAAACTATACTTGGAAATTGCTGGGCTGTGCGTGCGAGTGATGTTGTGCCTCCCTCGGTCTTCGGAGCCTTCAAATTGTCGTGACTTGCCTGCGAGCAGGAACAAAAAATGTGTCACCCTTTTTGGAAACTGACAGCGCTGCAAATTGATGAAGAACTTGGGCCGCGTGATCAACAAATGACCCTCGAGTGGACCTGGCTGCAAGCCACAACCTAAACTCCAGTAGAAAGCTACACTTCGAATAAATGTTCCAAACGACATGCTGACAAAAAAGCGGAAACGAGCACACCCACACGCCCGAAGACCGATGACAAAAATGTAAGTTGGCTTGTACGCTTGATCCGAACAAAGATACTAAAACAGACGAAAAAACTTGCATACATCATGAACGTCGGTGGTGAACCTGACATGAAGCAACGCATGCTCGCACCATCAGCTCAGCCACCGCGACTGCTTTATCAACCTGCTTGAACAAGCACGCGGCAGATACACCCCACAACAGGCGGACATAACTAAGATTCGATGGCAACCAAAATTAAATCAAGCTGTGAAAACGTCGGCGCAAGACCGAAAAAACATCACTTTGCAAACGCAACGCATCTTCTCTTATGGGAGCCACTCTGACCCACCTCGCAACATCGCAAACAAAAGACTTCCCACAACTCGTCAGCATAATTCTCACGTAAATTGAGTCTTCCCAAAACACCCGGAAAAAAAAACCTTGCGTGCAATCCGCGGATGCCGCGACCTACGAGCAAGGCCCATCGACAAATACAACATCAAAATGAGAGAACGTGAAAGAGAAACGGTGAGAGCAACAACAACAATAATCATATTAAGATGCCCGTTCTTACTGGCTAGCGTGTCTTGCATTGTGTATACCCTAACCATACCCGACCATTTCGTCTTCGATTGCACCCCCTTTCGGGGGGAATCCCTTCCTTGTCGGCCACTGACTCAAGTGCGAGGACCTCTCGAGCGAGAGCGCCGTTCCTGAACTCGGGGCCCTCTCTGGCCAGGGGCTCTCGGAATACAGATTGAGAAATATCGAACGGAAACTCTTCGTCGCCGTGTCTGGGCCTCCGACAACTTGCCTGCATTATGAGAAATTCTCGAGCGAGACCTCCACTCTTGAGTTCGGGGGCCTCTTCGGCCAGGGCATCTGAGAATGCATCTTGAGGAACTATCGAACGAGAGAGCACTTGTCGTCGTAGTTGGGCCTCCACCTATTTTCCCGAATAGCTCTCTGAGAGCTACAGGGCTTCAGATTAGAAGCTGGCGGCGCGGAGTAGGCCTGCCCCTCTCCAAAGCTCCCGGGCAGGCAATCCCGGAGCGGCCTGCTTAAGCCGGCAGCGGGTCCCAAGAAGCGGTTTCCTACTCGTTCCCAATACGCGTGCCTGAAGCCTTTCCGCAGATCCTTCGAAGTTCCTTCGAACCTCGTTTTTCCAAGCTTGTAAGCTCCCCAAGCATGCTTCCCAGCGTCCTGGCAAGCGTCTGCTCTCCAGCGCCCTGCCAGCGTCTCCCATAAGCGTTCCACGCGCTTTCAACTGCGTCGCTATCCGGGTCTTGGACTGCACAAATGACTGAACACGAGAAAGTCTCGAGCGACACCGCCGTTCCTGAGTTCGGGGTCCTTCCTGGCCCGGGCTCTCGGAGTAAATCGTGAGGAAATATCGAGCAGATGCTCTTGTCGTCCGCCACCTTGCCTGACTTCTAAGACAGTCTCAAGCGGGACCGCCGTTTCTGAGTCCGGGGGCCTCTCTGGCCAGGGTGTCTCTAAATTGCGAGAAACTATCGAGCGAAGCCGTTGTCGATGTAGCCGGGCCTCCAGGGGCACCTTTACAACCAAGCCCGCGCTCGAGCGGGAGCCTCGTGTTTTCGGAGGAATTTCAGTCGGCGTCGAGGCGAGAGCACGCGGAACTGCTTTCAAAGGTCAACAGTAAATATTTTCTGGGAAAATGGATATTCAACCACGACTACGACGATGACAACAACAATCATTATTTAATACTGTTCCTTCTTACGCGCTAGCATACCATTCAACACGTACATCCTAAACCTTTGATGCCCGCTCTCTTCATTTTCGATCATACCCCATGAGGGTAGATCTGTCTTACCTGCCGCACGTAATCTGCAGCCCCTCAAACAAGGAAGAACGGATGGAGGAGAATGAGAAAACTGGAAACCACAGCTCGACGCCTGCACTTTTTGAAATGGCGGTGAAGCTCCACTTCCGACAATGTGAGCTCCGCTCGACGTTGCAGGAAAACCTGACATCTCTAGTAGATCGACGCCCGCCCGACTGTCTTCGGACTTCTGGTCTGGCGACTGCTTCTCGGAGGCAGGCTGACAAGGCCGGACCAGGAGCAACAAGAAGGCTGAAACCGCGCTAACGCAGCCTTGGGCAAGACGGCCTGCACTTGAATTCTTCGGGTAAAGGTTTCGTGTAAGGCGACCTGCTCGTAAAGGCGGCCTGCACCCGAATTCTTCGCGTCGCATTCAGAACCTCCGGAACCAGGCGGCCTGCAGTCGGAATCTCAGGATAAGGCGGCCCGCATTCGAAATCCGCACGGAACGGCGCACTACGAGGGGTGGGAATACGCCGAAGAAGGACGGCACGCATGTAAATCGTCTGCATTAATATCTTAAACGAACGGTGCCCGAAAACCAGATGTGCCATTTCAATTACTCTCGAACGGGCGAGGAAGGAGGGAAAAGGGGGAGAACAGCGAGACCACAAGCCCCGCCAAGCGGCACCCACACAGAGGACGGGAATCAAGGGGAACGCGGCAAACTGTCCCTCGGTCGGCGCTGAAATTACAAAAAAGGTTGCAAACGCGAGTGGCGCCAATAGCGAAATCATGGAATCTGGAGCATCGAACAGAAGTTCTTCCAGACGACGCGTGCGACGACGAGGAACACGAGGAGGACGATGGACGAGAGCCGAAAAGAAAGAAAAAACACTGAGGGCCTAATATCAAGAAGCTGCTGTCGATCCTAATGCAAATTTCACGTACCATGGAGAAGATTAGAATACATTCAAAGCGTCAAAGCAGGGATATGCGAAATTAAAAACCGTGCTGCGCAACACCAGAAGGGTCACAAGCGGTGTTCTATATACGTTCCGCACGGCAATGGCACGCACTGTTCGATCTACGACACAATGTGCGCCTTGGAGACGGCGAAGACGAAATAAACTAGAGAATCGCCGCGAGGCACCAAAAACGCATTTCCAAATAATTCACCGCCGAAACTACGCCATCTTAAAACTCTCTTCGCGCGGCCGCAATCGCGCAGGGAATCGCGTGACTGTGTAAGGGCAGCCATCTTGGCGCCAGGCATGCTTAGAGGAACAACACGCCAAGCGTTGAGGTCATCATCGCAACACACTTCTTCA